ATGTTTGTATTTACAAAAATGTCTAACGTTACTCTACAAATTAATAATCTAGATTATAATTTTGTTATGAACAGACATTCTGTTCCAAGACTATGGATATCTGACAAGTGTTAACATCGACAAATATTTATTTTTCTTATATCCAGAACTATTACCTTTCATATGTCTTGCTTTCAGTTGATTGAATTCAGTCTAGTCATAGTTTCTTATAGCAATCGATGAAGTTTCGATTTCGTTCGTGAAATTAGTTGACAGTACGATGTAATCACGGGATCGATGAAACGTTTTTAATCAACATCGTTAACCTTTCGATGGCAGCGATGCTTTTCCCGCCGATATAAACTTGAATTCGCCGCGTCGTTTTAAATTCACCACGTTATTTATTCATCCCGCTTAAATCCGTTCGAGAACCTCAAAAGCCTCGAGTATGGTAGATCACTTATGCATAGTTCGACATGGTCAACGACTTAAAATTTGCAAATTATCGGCAGCGCGTGCCGCTTTGGTAAGCTGATAAATAGACTACGGATGTTTATACAAATTTCTATTCTTAAAGGTTAGTTTATAAGAACAGGTTACCAGACAGATGTTTATTTACTCTGCTACGAACTTAAAGAGGTTAAAAATAAAATAAAATCTTCCTCAAGGTTTCCATGAGATTTTCATTATATTCCATTTTGCATTCGAGTGGACAATAAACGCATTAACATTCGCAGTGATTAATAATGCAGTAGAAAGTTAAGTATTTGTAATTAGAAGCTGTGAATTTTATGCATTTTGGGTAATAAAAGAGGGTATACAGGATATTAATATAAATGTGGGACATTTTTATAGGATGGATTCTATAGGTCATAGTAAAGCGAAAATCAAAAACGACGAAATTGCGTTTGAGGCTTCGTTTCCGAATTGTTAATTGTCGAAATACGCCTAACGTGACAGTTAATTCTGCTTGAAAAATGCGTCCTCAAGTTTACAACAATTTGGGGAATTGTTGTATCCTAATGTAACACGTTCAAAAAATCAATTTTTTTTGCACAAATAAAAATTATAATATTTCGAAAATATGTTGCCAAAAGTTTGAAGGCGAGTTCACAAAAATAACAAAATTACACACCATTAAATGAGACGCGCTAGAGTTTGAAACGACAAGGGACAAAACTGCAACCTTGTAGCTACTAAGCACCACTATGGTGGCATCCCTCTAGGTGACGTTTTTAACGAAGGACTATTACAGTGGTTTACTTATTTCCTTGCTTCTAAAGCTCTATACGTTACGTGGGGGGTGATGTGAAAATGTCTATAATTTTTTCTTTTTCCTTTATTTGTGCACTCCGCGATCAGTTCCGCCGTAATTAAAGAGTTAAACATGTTTTTCACGAAACCACGTTATTTAAATTGGTGAGTCGGATAACTCAAAAACTAATCAGCTGATGAATTTCAAACAAAGCTCATTCGATTCGTTATTTTCTCCAGGGTCTATGCCTAAAATGTGTATTCAATTTTTCATTTATAATACTTTTCGAAAGTATACTTATCGAAAAAGACTCATTTTTCTTTCGAACACTAGACCTTTTCAATTTTTCTATCTAGTAAACTATCTAACGTCAAGAAAATTTTTCATTTGTTGACTTCAAATTACTGTGACAGGTGCTACACTGCACGCCAACAACGGCTATATTGCCGAAAAGGTTGACACGATTGTACATACACTTGTCCAAATAAATAATTAAAAAAAATTAAATTAAACAACTTTTCTATAATTTAAGAATGTTTCCTTATATCCTAAGACAGTTTATTCCCATATTATCAATAGTTTTTTCAAGAAAAATTCACAAAGACCACTTGCTTTTAGACGTGTTACACTGGGATCCCCCTTTATTAACTCAGAAATGAAGCTTCGAACGCAATTTTATGAATCGTTATAATTATATTGCGTTGAAATGATATTCCAATAACCTAAAAAAGTTATTAAATTCATGGAGGGGGAAGGTTTTTTTAAACCGCGCAGATAATATCTTTTTTATGCATCCATATAATTCTACGTTAAAAACTGAACAACTTCCGTTTCAAATATTTTTCGATACGACGATTAGTTTACACGTAATTGTCAAACGTATCATTCGAGCGCCGAACTTTGAGGAGCTATTTCACCCCTTCAAACCATTTCTTAGCAAAACCAAAAAAACATGCATTCAACAGTTTTTAATTCTCTACAAATTCATGCCAGTCTGAACGAAAAAAATATTTCGCTCTGGGGATATTCTATTGTTAGTCTGAAACGCAGAATCCGCTATACAGATATGTAGATATAGATATGTAGATATAGAGTACCGGACAAAAGTATTCGTACACCCTTTGAAAGCGGAACAACTTTTTTAAAATTGCTTCAAATGACTTGAGTTCTTTTGTGATGTTAGGGTCATTATGTAGTTTACTAAATAATGTGAAATAAATTAATATATAACTAACATAAATCTTCGATATGTACTTATAAAATTTTCATTATAGCCTCAGATTAAAAAGTTGTAAAAAACGACCTTTACTATTTTCTTCGCGATTCCGACCAATTGCAACTTTTTCATTTTTTTTTTGACACAGTAAACTAATGTCCCTACTTCATAAAAGAACTGAAGTCATTTGGAGGAATTTTAAAAAAGTTGTTCTGTTTTAAAGGGTGTACGAATACTTTCGTCCGGTACTGTATCTACAATGAGATATTCAGTAACCTAAGAGTACACTTACATTGTCTAGTTATTAGAGCGCTATATGTAATGGGTCCAAATGGACCCCGTGTACTCGACATGAGGTCGACCACCAGACGACCCGTTGTACGAAGGTTTATATGGGGCGGGTAACATGAAATTTTCATACGAACTGGCCAGCATTACACGATCCAAGAACGCATGCGCCAGGTTCCGATTCAAATAAAGGGAAAGCCACAGGGGAGCTTGACCCTTGGTCATCGCCGAGAATGCAGACAGTTTGGCCTGCAGCCTTTACCGCGATAGCATGCTTTTTACGCAGCAGTTCACCTCCTTGCCATGCCTCGCCAAGTATAAGAAGTGGGTAACAAAAGCCCGAAAATTCTGTTTCGAACACCGATGATGCACCACCTTCGACAGACAACTCGTTGAAAATTTGAAAAGCTTCAGCAGTGAATTTTTCGATTACGTTGGTGTACATGGAATATCGTTCTCGTGCTGCTCAATTGTTGCGATACATTTACACGAGTTCAGCTACATTTGTTTGTCTATTTCATTGCATCATATTGAACAGAAGGATACGATTTGAAAAATATTTTATCATTCAAAAAATTGAAAGCTAATGATGTAAAATATCACATTAAGACTGATATTAGAAGAACATTAGTGTATTTCAATATGTTCAATTACATTATACTTGGTTTTTTGTCGTTTGATAATGTATCTTGAGTTCGTTTTGAGTACTTGGTTTCGTTTTTCTTAAGTAAAGAATGGTGGCAGAAGAGATTTTGGATATTAGAGTCCCTGTACTTCACTAATGTTAAGAAGGAAAAATTCGAAATTATATTGAAATCATTGCAAGTGTGTGTAAGAGATTTTCAAATGATAATAATTTAAAAGACATTTTAAATTGTAAAAGCAGTGTTCCTATGACGAGATTGAAAAGAAGTTCATTCCATATACACCGATATAAAGATAGTCAAAATATGATATTTGAATAATAGAAGGCGTTTGAAGATAGTAGAGAAAACCATTCGCAATATCTGTTGTCAGCAAGAATGCATGTGTATCAAATAAATATTCAAACTTAATTTCCTCAAAGAACAGAGCCTTATGTGTTCAAATTTAATCGTATGTTTTCGGCTTCCTTTTCCATAAAAAATCATTTGCTCTTTGGATGTAATAGCTTCAAAAAGCACAGAATATGAAATATTCATTCTATTCGATAGGAAAGCATCTCCTATTATTCTGTAAATGTTAGTAAGTAGATAGCAACGTAAGGTCCGTTTTTCTCTTCCATTACTCTGTCCCTTCTTACTCGCAATTTATACTCGTAGTCGAACAGATCAGCGACGCCAGTAACACGATCTACGAATTGTGATTGTCATTGCACTTCAATGGGAGCACGTGTGCATTCGCGTGTCACAATGCATGGAGATAGCATCCACGTTGGACTCATAATTGTGTCACATTCTTCACGTGAATGTTTAGCTGCTAGGTTTCAGCAACACAAATATGCATTTTCAATTATTATTTTTTTCATCCTCCAAATAATGTGGACTTTATACACTTAGAGAATACACGAATGCAAATTATGTACCAACTGTATGTGTTGTTTAGAATTATATGAAACTCTTATAATAGGACATAAATTTTTGTTTAATTCCATTCTTTGTAAATTTCACTTGCACAGCCGCGGTATAATGATTATTACGTGTATCAATAACTAATCCACTTTTCCTCGCCAAATTTTAACTTTATTACTTTAACAATATTCGTTATATTGTTCTTCGCTGTAATACACCATTTTTATTAGACAGGAGGACGGACAAATAGTTTCACATTACCACCTCTCTAAGGGAATAGTGAATCATTCGTTTATACATATAATTACAACATTGTTCTTATTACTTCAAACTCACTAATTAAATAAAAAATTACTAAGAAATAATTGAACATCATATTATACGATACTAATAATATTAACACTTTGTGTATAGCACGCACTCTGTTTAGAAAACTTTGGATTTGTTAAGAAACAATCTTATTATTTTGTACATTACTGCTTTTGTTACATGCGTCTGCTCCAATATTCATTTTACAAGCTGTTATTATTATTCACCACGATTTAAAAAGGAATTACTTGAAATTTACCAAAATATCAGCGTATAAATCTAAAATGAAACGTGTTTAACAAATTATATCTATTTTATTGGAGTATACGTTTAGTGTACCGTTAGAGTAACGTGCAGTGAAATGAGTATTATCTCAAAAAAGGAGGGCTTTGTTTTTGTTTAGGTCACGCGCACCAAGCAAGGCGATGGAAAGATACGAACGGCTGGCGCGACTTGGGGAGGGTAGCTATGGTGTCGTCTTCCAGTGCAGAGATCGTCAAACTGGAAAATTGGTAGCTGTGAAAAAGTTCCAACAGACCGAAGATGATCCCCTAATACGAAAAATCGCGTTGCGTGAAATACGGCTACTGAAGGTCAGTATGAGTCACATTTTCACGTGATTTTCGTTACTAAATGTTTCCCCTATGCGATAAAATTTCGTACTTCTTTGAAAGAATTGAAGTATGGGCATAAAGTAGACTTTGTGTATACATTTAAACGTATGGCACTTACAGTCCCTTTTATATCCAGTTTTTAAATAATAATTCTCGGGATATTTAATGCAAAACAATAATAAATTACTTTAAAAATGCTGATCATAGAATGCTAGAACGTTTAACATTACTTTAAATTAGCATTAACTTTTCGGACACTTTTTTCACACACTTTTACGCGCAAATACAGTGGCCGAACAAATTGTTATTAGAGCCACTCGCATAAATTAACGATTGTACCATTTAAACTATATTTTTCATAATTACATAAGCATAGTTTTTTAGTGGACAATTGTTAATTAAAAATTGTCCAGTGTAAAAACCTTGATATTGTAATTTTATTTCCACACAAACACCAGAAAACATATTTTCTAATAATTTGATTACCCAGTGTGATTCACATATAGAAAGATCAAATTATTCCGTTCAAAAAGGGTTGCAATTGTGTTTTCTAAAACCAATTGGTGCCCTTTTGAAGGAAACAAACTTTAAGAAACCGTTACGAAAACGACATGAAAAATCGTAAAATTTTTACGATGCAACCCCTCCCCCATCTTAACTCACGAACACAATGACCCATAAAGTTGCCTAGGTCTACTACGTGTTAACTTTTAGCATATTCTAAACCTAGCTTCGCGACTGAAGAGCTTAAAATATTTTTACTCTGACTCTAAAAACAAATTACCAAGTGTACACATTTAAATAACAGTTTGAACGTGACGTCATACAATTAACAAATTTTATCTGAACGTGCTCGTGACTTTGTTTAAAGTGAAACATGGTCAGCAACGTACTGTAACTATTATCAGAAAATCTACGAAGGAAGCTTTCTGCCCCTAGTTCCTCCACTGGCCGATACTAACCCTGCACGTCCACACGTTTGGGTGAATGACCCCTCGTACCCTGAAAGTACAAAACCTTCCGTCGACTGTCTCCGATATAAGGTGATCGAAATTAAAAGTCGAATCGAAGAATCGAGAACGCGTTTTTTAAATTGGATGACAGTGGACGAGCTCGTTTTAGTGATTTTCTAGAATGGTGTTGGAGAATCGAGGAAAAATTCATAATCTTATACAGCCGTGTTAGTCGCATAAATCTACGGTCAGCTACAAGAAGTGGCCAACGGTCAATACCGCGGCGGTCAATATCTTAGCGTGTTCTCCTCTTGCCGACCTAGCCTTATCGAAATAATCGGAGGGTTCCCACCGAAACATATGCGCATTGAAACGAGCCACCACTGTGGCCTGACATTTCGCCTCAAGGATATTTTCCTTTCGTGCACAAAATAAATCCGGGCTGCGATGTTAATGATTTCCTTTTGCCAAGAGTTTTGACCGCAACATGTGTCCGCAATGTGTACCAGCGGACTTCACCTGGATTTTTTTCTCTCAGGTCACGGAATTTTTAGACTTCCTTGAAACCGCGCGTGCCCTCTGACGTATCTCTTGATCCTTCTCTTGTGACCGTTATTTGGTATAAGCATATTTTGATATAGTGCGTTCGTATGATATTGTAGTTTCTTCCCATTCACCTCTTCCTCGTTAGCAAAATACATACGTATAATGTAATGCTGTTAATGTAATAAGGATGAGCTATTATAATATTTTATTTTGATATTCGGATACCACTGACTGTTTGATAGCAGAGTTGGACAGAATTTTATTCGAATATATAATACGTAGTGAAAAGCAGCAGTACATAAGAGCAAAGACGAGATATAAGAATAGACCTTATGGGACTTGGTGTCCCACGAAAATCACGCTGGCTCGAGCGCACCTCTCTAGGTACTTTATGTCATTACGTTTATTCGTCATTCGAAGCTCTTTATCTATATAGATATGTATTGAATTTGCCCATTTCTGTTTGATAGATTATACACTTATGTTTCTGAACTAGTGGTAAAAACTGACATTAAAAGAAAGAAAAAAGCATTTTAATAAACACGGGTATGTATGTACATATTTATGTATGAACGTGACGCCATTTTGAATAACGAAAAAGTTATGAATAACAAACGCTGGAAAGAATCACTTGAACCGATATTAAATATTATTGAAAATATAAACAAAAGCTCATTCTTTGCCGTCTCAATAAACACGCCATAGAAATATTATATAAACTCATAAATTAAAAAATTAAATACACGTGGACGATTAAGTTACCGACTTATGCCTATTCAGATATCCTGTTTTCTTTAGTACTGTTAACCAGTTAAGTTCCTACCTATATTTTACAGACGTTCTATATAAAAAAAGGAAACATGCAATGAATAACAATAAATTACTTTCACTTATAACCTTTTGACTGTGTAATACTGAAAAACTAAACGCTTACTGTGAACGTCATTCAGCCCTTATGAACGATCGTTATAGAATTTTTGTGCGAGCTACATACTGAGAATTACTAATTTTTATGCAACACGGAAGCTTCTACTTTGATCTTTTATTACATATAAGTATATATGTACATATAAATCATATACTTGATCTGATTTTTATTTAGATAAATATCATCTGACGCCTATAACACTTGAAGGTTTAAACACAGCGTAAACACAAACAGAGTATATCTTTTTTTATCGTCCAACATAAGTATTACTGCAATTGCTCTCTACAGTCTTTGTTTATAAGGTACTCTATTTTGTTATATACAAAATATAACAAAAATTAGGAGACTCAATGAGTTTAGAACAATTAAATATTTAAAAAACTAAACGTAAATGAATTATTAGAAAGCTAATTTTTTGTCCTTTTAAAAGTGAATACTAAATTTAGCAAAAAAAGTTAGCAGACCTAACCCAGACCTAACCCAATCAGCCAAACCTGCAAAGCCAAATTTTGTCCAATGCCTGTTATAAAGTTGCGGGCTACAAGTTTAATGCAAGATTTGCTATAAACTACTTGCGCGCACATTGGCAGTAACATAGGCAGCAAATTGACAGCAACATATACAGCAAATTGGCTTGCGCAAACCTTGTTCCGGTTTTGCCCTCAATTTGACATAGGTCATATTGCAAGATTTTCTGCCAATTTACTTTACCATTTTGTCAGATAGCATTGCCTACAAAACCTAAGTCAAATGCGGAAACAGATGGCTATGGTTTTTTAGACAAATTTTATCATTTATTGCTGGTAGTTTGCTTGAAACTTGTACACAACTGATTATCAGGGTAATTACTTCTTGGTACACCCAAAAATTCATCAGACATTGTTTCTGACTTACGCAAATATGTACTTGGAACAGAAAGGGTAATAATATGATCCAAAATCCTTGGTGCATGATTTCTTCCAATAGTTTCCGCAATAACATTTCATTACACTAGTAGTATAATATAAAGAATGAATAGAACAAATATTCTTCTAATATTAAATAGATATTACGAATGTATATTTTACAGAATCTTAAACACCCGAACCTGGTCAACCTATTGGAAGTTTTCAGGAGAAAACGGAAGCTGCATTTAGTCTTCGAGTACTGCGAGTACACATTACTGAATGAGATGGAAAGATATCCCAGTGGTTGTCCAGAAATCACCACGAAGCAACTCACATGGCAGATTCTACAGGGCGTTGCGTATTGCCATCGGCTCGGTTGTGTCCATAGGGATGTGAAACCAGAAAACATCTTAATCACAGCAGACGGTGTGGTGAAATTATGTGACTTCGGTTTCGCGCGAATGCTCAGTCCCGGTGAAAATTATACAGAATATGTCGCAACTAGATGGTACAGAGCACCTGAACTGCTGGTAATTTTTTTTAACAATTAAAACATTGTTTTCGTTAATAAATTCTTAACTGTCACTTTTATGTCAAATAATGATTTTTAAAAAATTCATGTCGTAGTAGCTTACTTTGAAGAAATATAGTTTATAACTTATTTTATAGTAATACCATGTTTCAACATACAGATTTGATTTTATATTACAATTATAGTAAATACTTACTTTTCCAGAAAATAAATTTCATAATCTTATTCAAATTCAAGACTAAGAAGATACTAATGAAGAATGTTTTCTGTAATGGTTTTTGCATTGACTTTTACTGTTTTGTTAAATTTTTATTATAAATATCATAAATTAATGTGACATAATGTAAAATGTGAAAAATTGAAAACTTAATAATACTATAAGTGATCATTTTATGCTGACCACTCTGTGGTTGGAAAAATTTACAGTATAATAGAAATGTATGCTTATTAACAGTTATATGTGATTATTTTTTCAACCTCAAAGTTTTGAATTTTTAATTCAAAGATTCGACAATTTTATTAAACTCCAGTTTGATTTATCAATCTCACTTATATGAACAAATTTTAAACTACCCTTGTTCTCTGATCTCTTCAATTGAGACATTAGAATTTAAGTAGAATTTAATAGTAAATACAAAAAATGATATGTCTTCTCAGGTTGGGGATACTCAATATGGTACACCAGTAGATGTATGGGCAATTGGCTGTGTCTTCGCAGAATTAATACGTGGAGAAGCATTGTGGCCAGGTAAATCAGATGTAGATCAACTGTACCTAATTCGAAGAACTCTTGGCAACTTACTACCAAGGCATGTGGCCACTTTCCAGCAGAATGAATTTTTTGCTGGTATCACCCTGCCAACACCTCAAACACTTACTCCTCTAGATGATGCTCTACCTAATAGAGGAAATACTGCTATGCAGGTATACAGTCACTCTACCATATTGTTGTAGAATACAAAATGTCTACAATTTATATTCATGAATAATTTCATTTTATTTGATCTAATAGCTTGACTTTCTAAAAAAATGTTTGGACAAAGATCCAGATCAAAGGTGGACTTGTGAACAACTCCTACAGCACTCTTATTTTGAGAACTTCCATTTCAAAATGCCTGAGGCTGAAATGGAAGAATTTGAAAAACTCAAAAAATACAGAGATCGTTCAAGAGTGAGCATATTTATAAAATACACTGTCTGATATAAACAATTTGATTTCCTACAAAGTTAGAAGTTTATATGTATTATAAATAGTAACATATTATTCTAATACTGTTATTACATTTCAGAATAGTAACTACAGTCAAATATTACCCCAACTTCCTAAAGCTGGTGCTTCGTTACATAGTCAAAATGAAACTCGGCCGAGAAGCTCCTCCATGCATCATCAGCAGGATTTTGACCACCTGCCTACTATCAAAGGTTGTAATTAAGCTCTTCTGTGATTATAAAGTACTTGTACAGGATGACCACAAAACTAAGAACACTAATTTGGAATCTGATAAAGAACATAGACCTTAGCAAAACAAATCCAGTAAACATACATATATTCATAAATGATATCTTATAGATCATGTCATCAGAAATTTTTACATTTAACTTTTATATTTGATTTTTATTGAACTTTATATTTGGCCAATATATAAAAGTTGAATTTCATTACTAAACATATTGAATAACTTTTTCAGTTAATTATTACAAATTATTATTGCTGTGAAGTAGAGTATGTCTGTGATTTATTAAAATTTCTTTAGCCTTCGATGTAAAGAAAAAAGTATATAAAAATATATATTTATTAAACTTGTTTTTCTAAGAGCTGCAAATTTTATCAGACCTTAATTTTATGTCCTTACTTTTGGGTACACCCTTGTATCCATATGTGTATAATACATATTCATATATATTTATTTAAACTTTATAAATATTCATTATGGATTAATTATTAATACCTTTTGTTTGTATTTGCACATTTGTCTTTGAACTCTTAATGATTTTGTTTTATTAGCATGGTTTTCATGTTATATACATATTTATTATTGTATATACATTATATGTGTGTACACATTAAAATAAAATTTTTTACAAAATAATCACAATTATATTAAACCTATTTGTAAATGGATGTAATTACTGATTTATTTTTAGTATGGTAAGTAAATCTTCTACACTAACACTATGAACAATAAAATCAATGGATAAGTATTCAAATTCATTTCTGTTGTTTTATTGTAACTTATGTTATATAAATTATAACATATACAATTTACATATTTCACGCACTTCATTCTTTATATTCACACTTTGACAAATGAATACTTTCACTACATATAGTATTAAAACAACTTCCTTCCTTATATTTAGGTACTATCAATAGAATCTTTTTCTTTTTTCTTGTTTACAAAATTCTGATACAAACGTACAACAGGATGTTCGTGCCTCTCATGAGGTGGAACATATTTTTGTTGCAGTAAATACCAACCATATTGAAGTCCAAGAAAACCAGTCAGACACACCCACACTTCATAATTTGCCATTCTTATGTCAACTTTTGTCTCACAAACGTACTTCAAATAAAGATGTCGAATGCTTGCTTTACTAAACGAATTTTAGGTTAATCTCATTACCACGAATTTCTACAGAATAATATAAAAGATAGAGCTTTCGTACGAGATTATATGTATTAATAAGTTTTTTTTAATACAACCTTACCTAACGCTAATCGCAAAATTTGTTTATTTAAATGAGAATCTCCGGCGTTTGTTTTAGGAACAGTTGTAGGTTATATACATCGACTATTCATTCTCTGTACGGATAGGACTCGTCAAAACGAAGTCATTTTTGCAGAAACGTAATATTGCCTTTATTTGTTAACTATTTATTAACACATGAATGAGACCGAATGAAATATGTTGATACTTGGCTGATGCTTGAAAATACTTGAAAATGCAAGAATCTGGTACGATCTGCTATCAATTACCAACTTGTACCAACTTGTAAACCGACGAGCAAACTCGACTTCCGTTAGGGGAAAATGTGGCGCGGGAGAAGAACTTCCTACCACTTGGTATCGGCAATTACTGAAATTTGCACCAAATTAACATCCGGTTTAACATTTATTTCAGTACTTGAAATAAACTTACGAAGTGAGAAGGAAACGTTTCTTCTACGCCACTTTTCCTCTAGCGGAAAACGAGTTTGCTCACAGAGTCGGCTGTGCCACGAGCAAACTCGGCTTCCGCTAGGGGAAAAAAGTGGGCGAAGGGCCCCCTACCAATTAGTTTTTGGGGGTTACTAAAACTTATTCTAAATTAATAGCGAATTCGGGAACCATGCACAGCGTGCGTGCAGCTCTGTGCTCGTGCTGTCCTGGAACGGTGCTGGTGTTGCCCCAAGATGGTACTGGTGCAGCATTTTGTCCGGGTAGCACAGATAACATGCGAACTATCTCAATGCAGCACTGAAGTCAACTGAAATGTTGCCGCAGCACTCGCCCTCGTCCAGTTCATTTCGTTTAGCCGAATGCGAATTTTGCACTGCACTGGGGCAGTTTTGTTCGTCGAATACGATACAAACACGATACGTACACCTGTGTCCTGAAATGCCAGATGACTACATCGTTTTTTTCGTTTTTTATAGAAAGTAAGTACCACCAAATGTTGTAATTGGGCCACCAATGACCTCCAAACGATTACCCATCGATTGAGCATTTAAAAAACTGAATCCAGCGAAAAGAAAAAATTTTCGGCTAACTTCATGATCAAATTTTGATCACTTAATTACAAAAGAACGCGTGACCACCAAATGTTCTAATTAGGCCACCAATGACCACCGATCGACCACCAATCGATTGGGTATAATGAAACGTTAAAAAGTCATAATTGCCCGGCTAACTTCACAGAGGTTCGTCTACGCCACTTTTTCCCCTAGTGGAAGCCGAGTTTGCTCGTGAGGGTACTGTAAACTGCTGTAAATTGATTGGGCAAGTTTATTTTTTTATTTTTATATTTTATATTTTTTTATATAATTCTGTAATAATGAATCGTATACTAACGATTTATAATACGTACAAAGTAAGATAATTAAAAATGAAATTATTTAACGATTTTAAGATAACATGAAGTTTAAGGCAGAGTAAAAAGGCGGGAAACCTTTTCAATAACGTTCAGTAATCAGTAACAATTAGTAATAACACAACTGTCAATAAAGTGATTGTGTTAAGTATTTAATATTGTCTTCTTTTGTTGTAACATGTATTATGTATAAATATGTATAATATAACAATTATTTTATCATAAAGCTGTAACTATGGCTGATGAAAGATTAGTAAAAAGTGTACAAAGTACTTTTTCTCTATACGGTCTTGTTCTTTCAAGGTATATATATATTTTATATTCATTTATATAAATTTATTCTCCAACTTTTGTATATTAAAATTTTCCATTTTATTTAGAAAGCTCAGTGTTTCACTCGCTAAGGAACTCTTGAATGTAGAAGAAGATGGTCGAACAACTTGGCTTACACAGATTGTGGAACAAGTACTGGCACAGAATTTAAATGATCCACATATTACAGTGGAAAATCTCAAGTTAGCATTAGAAGAATGTATAAGACCTAATTCGTTGAAAAATACAGAAACAGTTTTAAATGTCATAGATGCATTTGATATACCAAAAATTAAACATGACTTATTGAGAAAAAAGTTTGTTCTATCTCCTGTAACACCAGACTTATACGCTGAATCAGAATATAAATCAGCAATGTTTAAAGATCGATTTGAATTACTTTGGTATAAAACTTTAAGGCATGAATTGTTTAATCCCCCTAAACTTGGTGAGACAAAAGAAAATTGGATTGAATTAGTACCTATTGAATATTTATTAAGCGAAAGTAAGAAAGGAAACGTTTATGTGATGGGCCTCTTAACACAATTAATAGAGGGTGAATATTATTTAGAGGACACAGGGGGGGCCATTAAAATTGATTTAAAAAGAGCAATATCCTTTGATATAAACAACATTAATCTTAAGTATGATTTCTATTCAAAATGGCATTTCCAAAAATTATCTTCCTTAACAATTAAATACAATTTTCAGGATGGATTAATTATGGAAGCATCTATAATAATAGCTAGTGGAGACTATAGAGATGGTATATTATATGTAGAAGATATTGGTTTTCCACCAGCTGAATCATCTAGCAATTCACGTGTCGATTTTGGTGACTCCAATACATTTGGAGGATCACACGATCTTTCTTTAAAGCTTTCAGAAAAATTACAAAGTTATGAAGAAAGTAACAAAGATGGAATGATAATCTTTGTATCTGAAATGTGGTTGGATGACGTAACAGTTTTACATAAATTTGACACCATGTTGAAGGGGTATTCTGAATACCCACCTATTGCTTTTGTATTATGTGGACATTTTTTGAGCTTTCCAGCAAATATAACTAGCACACAAAAATTAAAAAAGGGTCTTAAAGATCTAGCTGACATAATAACACAATATCCAGAAATAAAACAATCTTCCAAATTTATTTTTGTGCCTGCACCAGATGATGTCGGATCACCAAAAATTTTGCCAAGATTTCCACTTCCAAAACATCTCACAGAAGACTTTCGCAAACATATACCTGGTGCAGTATTTACTACTAATCCATGTAGAATTCAGTATTGTACAAAAGAAATTGTAGTGATAAGAGAAGATATCTTAACAAAAATGTGTAGAAATACACTTCACTTTCCACAAGAGGGAAACATCTATGAGCATGTAAGTTTTATTATATTATTGTTTGTTTATATCCATTACTTAAAAACTGTGCTGTTTAATTTTGTTATAAATTTTTAGTATGCTAAATCAATTATTTGCCAGTTACATCTGACACCTTTAAATCTCTCTGTAATTCCAAGATATTGGAAGTATGATCATACTTTACAAATATATCCAACCCCAGATTTGATTGTAGCCGCAGACAAATTTGAAGCATATGCGACCACTTACTCCAATTGTCATATTATTAATCCTGGACTGTTTCCAAAAAATGATCATTCGTTTAAAGTATATGTTCCAGCCTTAAATTTAATCGAACACTGTGCTATTCCTAAAGATATGGATGATATGAATTAAAAAGTATGTAAATTTATGAATAAATGAAATATAAACCAACAAAGTAAAGTTCTTCATTAATACCTTCACTATTATTCTCTCGGTATTCTAAGCTTGTCTTTTCAACACTACATGCCCGTTTTTCAAACTCAGCAGTAAACGTGTTAAGGGACGCCGATAATTAATTCACGATACGTTCTATTTCTTCATGAACAGTTAAATGCCGATTTTGTAAAATGTTTATTTTCACATCACAATTCTCATCAGTTTTACAATAGTTCAAAAAAATGCGTCTTCAGTTCATAACTTATTCTACAACAATCTTCACTATTAAACATAAGAGCATATTAAATTAAGTTCATCCATTGAAATAACTTAATCTCTTGTTGAGGATACTAGATCTATTGGTCCTCTGTGTCCAATAATACAATGAAAGAGAATCGAAGAATAACTTATTAAACATATGTTTCTTGCAATTGAGTAAGTTTAATATTATTAACATAATACACCTCAGAAAAAATTCAACACTTCTTGCTTCTCTCTCTCTCACTCTTTCTCCCTCTCAGATTGACTAACAAAATTTGTATATTAGACTTTCTATGTGGGACACAGGAAGTATGCATTTATTTTTTTGTTTTTGCTTATTCGATTTATATAAATAGATACATACAATAGTAAACACAGTGTTTCTACCTCTTCGCAATGTACATAACAATATTACAGGTACAGACTGGGCCCCGGCATATCTCAATTCACGACACTGGAAGCATAAGTCAATTACTGGCCATCCAATTAAACATTAGTACAAGGATTGTAACTTACAGAACAATATGTAACATATAAGATGCAATAATAAAATCGTATGAATTTTGCAATTTTATATTAATGATAAGCCGAATTGCCATTAACAATATCAGCTATACAGGTTAAGGGAAATATTGTATTTGAACTATAATAATTAAGGTATACTTTTAGAAAGTTTTACACAGAAATATTATTTTAATATTCGAATCTCTTTCTTTCCCACATTCATACGCTTTTATGTTTTCTCTCATTCTGCATACAGACATACATACAGACTTTTCTGTACACTATTTCAGCAAACGTATGAATCACAAATTGCCGTAAGAATTAATTGTGTTTCGACTATTAAAAGCTAAGTATTGATGTCGATAACGAACAAACTTTTAATGGAGTGGCAAGCAAATGGTAAAATTTTTACTTCTCAAACATTCGGTTAGAGTGTGAGCGTTAAGTGTTAGAAAAAACGGAGATTAATCATTCTATTTATAAATTGAGAACTGTAAGCTATCGCGCACTTACCCCAAGTTCGAATATATTACAGTGCCGCATGTAAAAAAAAAAACAAAACAAGAACGCGCTTACATCTATTGCACATCCTTGAACATTTTTTTTTGTTTCGTAACTCTGATGTCAATACAGTATCGACTATATCTTAATACATAATAATACATAATAGTTTTATGTACCGGTGCTTTCTTTGTGTAGTTATATACAGGTGTATAAGTTCAGCTAATAGAGTTACAATTTCAGTCAACGGACGGTGTGATAGTCCTTCACACTCCATATCTCACGAGTTCTCTTTCTTCGTATGCAGCTCCCCTGAAAATCAGACGAAGACAAACTTATTCGTGTATATTCTACAGTTCTATTGGTTACAATTAAGAAGATTAAGTTTAAAGAAATAGCTTAAATGTAATGACAGAGTTGCACATCATTCTGCTAATGATATTCCATATGGTTCCCTTTAATTTAAATTCTTTATATTTGTATATGTTTATAGTGCTTTCAAATAATGTTTGAAAGTACTGTTTGTACAATATATTTTTTTTCTAGTGTACATCTGCAGTTATCACAACATTAAATTTTATACTTCTGGGCTGTGAAGTTACTTGTTAACTTCTCAGTTCTCTTGAAAGATACTTTTAACCTGCAGGGATATAGGATATCAGAGATAAACATACTCTTTAAGTGAAGAAAAACGTTAAAAAAGCTAAAATATCAAATGAATATATGTTTATTTATTGATTAGTTATTTATTTATCAAATTTATCAGCAATTGCATAACATTTTTTTGTGACAAGAAAACATTGTAGAAATATTAAATGTTGATACTAAAAAGTATTATAAAAAACTGAATTATAATAGGTAGTATAAATTTGATTATGCAGTAATAATATCAGATAATGGTTTAAAGGCTTACAGTTAAAGCAAAAGCAATTGTGTGTCATGAAGCAAGTATCTTAACACTTATAAATTACCTGTGACACTCTATTTCTACAAATTTTAATATGAAATGTACAATTAATTTAAACAAAAATATATGTGTCATGCTTGATATAAACCACAGATAGAGAAATAGCTTCAGGAGTTTCTATCCTTTCTAGTAGTTAATCCTTTATTGATTTGAATAAGCTATGTAAGTACATTTGTTTGTCAAATGAAATTACTACTGCTACTGTACAGCCTTCTTGTACTGCAAAATTCAAATAAAATTTCGATGCTGTTTTACGTAGATTCTGCATTTTCTAGATACATGATAAATCGAGGAATATTTCTGGCATATTGATTCCGACTACTAATACCCACTTTCTCTCTGATATCTTCGGCAAGCTTGATTCCTCTCTTCGGCATCGAAGTACCACAAAGTGATCGCGTATCTGGTTTTATATGCGGGTTGTACTTCGTGTGGATTTCTCCTGTCAGACCAGAAGAATAGTATCCTGTCGAAGAGAGGCTCGATATCTGCCACTTGATCGCGCCAGCCTTCCGGGAATATCCTCAGGAGGCCGCCATTTTTCTATAATCACATATAACATGTAATTATTATGAATGGCAATTATATAACTTGCAAGAATTAAACTTGTGATAATTTATTTATTATTGAAATATTCGTACATTTTATCCATTGGTTGATGAGAAACAAAATGGCCGTTTGAACATGTTACGGTTACTATTGTATCTTTGCTAGGATTGCAAAATATGTAGAATTCTTCGTTTTCCTTGTATAGCGTGATACAGATTTACAGATCTTTGTAAAACTAAAATGAGTTTTAATGGACAATGGTTTGATGCATGCATGTAAATTACATGAAATTATAATACTGTAAATGTATACATGGTGATAGGTCATTTATTTCACAATCTATAATAAAGACGCTCTTTTTTTCAGTTGTATTGAATACGGAATGCTAGAGTTGTACAATACTGACATATTCTAATTTCTTAGATTATTACCATTTATTTTATCATTATTTGCAAAATATTACTATTATTAATTATATTTGCTTGAACACGTTATGTCTACGTACGTTAATGGCCAAAAGATGAGTAACTGTATTTTAAATTATATATCCATCACATAAATAAAATTTTCTTACATGATACTACTGATAAATATAGAAAGAATTCTTTACTTACTATAAAATAAAGACGTCTGTCTTTACGTTTAAGTAAAGTATTTTATCCCTCTGTTCCTTTTATTTTTGAACTTCCGTTCGCTACTGTATGTTACCGATAAAATACAGAAATATAATTACTATTTTATCTAATTTCGTGTTTTAGCCACCCTATCATAATCGTCAAGTGTTACTATTTCAAACGAATGCATAATAAATAATTCAAGAAGGTCCAACTCCAGACGCTATAAAACGAGAGATGTTTGACTACGATCGTTATTCCATATTTTTAGTGTTCATGAAAACTTTCGAGAGAGTGTTATACATACATCCTCTTAGCGTCTTGAATCAAGATTATGCTAACAGACATGCATTATCGTATAAGATATTTTACACCTGGCGACTTTCTTCCAATGAAAGCAGCGTATATGTATGTATATTTCGTGTAGGCCAACGTAAACATTGCTCAACTGGATCTTCCTGTGCATACACCAGATATAGGTGACATACATAGATGTACATGGAGCAACTCACGTAGGCCCTACAGGCCCTTTTTTGCATGTCTTTTACAGGTATTCCACATTTTTGAAATTCAAGCGTTTACGGGAACTTGTAGACACACGAAACTATCTTACAAGTAGGTCTTGACCTAGATCTAATCCACTGTTACAACTGTATGATTATTTTATATAATTTCGTACAATTATTGTTTTATTAATGTAAACAGTTATTTAACTGTATGCAGATTTGTTCGAGTAAATATTGACTTTAACGTTTATTAATATCGTAATGATTATAATAAAAATCAAGAGTTACGAAAATGAAAACGAATATTCATTACGGAGAAGTTGTGTACCATGTAGCATGTTTGTATGCTTTGATCTAATCAATCATTTTTATCATTACTTTAAGGACACACTATTATTTTTAACCATCAGTATTCTGTCCCTACTTCTTTAATCTATAAATTCTGATAAATACACAACTGAACAGGTTTCTTAAAAAATTATTATACTTATTTTTCTAAATTTTAATTAAATTATAGTCTTTAATTAACCTTCGCAATACCAGGACGGGGAGTACTTTATGTCCACCATATTATTATTGTACAAAGTCCTGCTAAAATAATTACTTAAACATTCTCAATAAATTATAAATTATGTAAAAATATCCCTTTACACGAGAATATAAATACGGTTTTATGGAAATTTGAAACAAAGTTCGAGAAACACATATATGTACATAGTCGTCGATGCGTAGGGGAATGCCATAGCAAATGAGAAAAATATAATAAATTAAACAAGACAATAATTGTATGGGGTATATGTAACAGATATGTATGTGAGAGGCACAGTAAAAAAGAAAGAACTGTTATATGTCAGAATTGTGATGATTGTAAAAGTAAAAGTGATTGAATTTCCAACAATTCCATTTTGAAATTTAAGTTCTCTATTCTCTAAAAAATTAATTATAAAACTGTTTACTATGTAGCAATACATTCTTTTAAAATTTCAATAGAATATTATATTTTAAACCCTTTAGTCCATGATATATTCGAAACGAGCTATTTGTAAGAAATTATAGATTTTTATTAGATGGTCATACAGTACCCCTCCTTGTTATTCTACGTGACAAAAAAAGGCTTGGCATTGCAAGAATTAAATGTATTTTATGATTGATACTTCAGCTTGGAATGTACCAGCAATAAAATGAAAGATTATTAACTTACAACAAGTTAAATAAATGAAATTATAAAAGTAAATGTATTACTTATATCAGTGCATTATTTTAGTAATTTATATGTTATTTGGAAATGGGGCATACAATCATTTATATAGACAACTGTGGATGACCTATATTTTACATCCATGTTTAAATAAGAGTTACTTTTATAATATTTAGCAAATGTTTTCAATTAAATAAACATAAGGTTATTCATACTATGGAATCCTTCCAATTTCTTAAAAAGCCCTTTAATGCAGGATCCACAAAAAACGCAACGATAAAAAGAAATTCTTAAAATGTGTCTGTACCTTGATATCCCAATCTCGATTGAGATAATATATAGCGGTGATGCATCGTCCATCTCGATTAGGATTGTCCACGTGCTTCACGTAATGCGAACCGTGACCAGGGTAGCAAGCCACCATCGCCTGAAAAATAATGTGTTACGTTGAGTTAATCGAGCGAACTGAACAGGTTTGCGAATCCATTCATGATTTTGCTGTCACAGAATTCACCGGAATTGCGAAATGGTTGTTCTGATTGATCTGTAGGTAATATTTATAGAAAAAGCAAGCAACAGACTGACGACAGGATTTTTTTTAATAATAATGAAAGCCACTAATTACTATTTTGTAAAGTAAGAGAATATAGATTATTCTATAGATTATTCGTTGATGTACTTTTTATTTAAAAAAGCTTCCTCAATTTGTTTGAATGTACATGAGAAGTTGATTTCTTTACGCGAGAAAGATTGATTTTATTGTTTCAGTATCCTCAGGCTGTTGTTAAATGAAGAAAGAAACGTGAATTTATAAACGGTTTAAATCACAACAAATCAAGACTAAATTTTTAACTGTAAACGTAAGATGAAGTGACATTAATACAAACGCGAGTTCTGAGAGACAGCATCATACTTGTTTCATACTTTTTACTAGGGTTTCATTAACATTCTACAAAGCTGGTATTACACTAAGCAGCTCATTAAAATATCAGATATATGTATACACGTAAGGATAACTGTAAAAACTCCTTTAAGAGTAAAGGAGACACTAAAACAAGGAAACAACGTTAATTTTCATACTTTGCACACTCACAAATTATAGTTCGTAACAAAATGTAAACAACGTTAAATTTTCCAGTTTCTTTTAACCCTTTCGCCACTACAGGCGACTATAGTCGCTCTCCATAAAATGCCACACAATATCATTATTAACTGTAATTATTATCTTTCAATTATATTCTCTAATTTCAAAATTTAATAAAAAGTTAATATGTTTAAATGTTATAAATATTTTAATTTGTGGAGTTTTTTTTCAATAAACACTGTCAAACCAACTCGGGTTGCCGTGAAGCGTAAACACGGCTGCTGCCGATTTTACTCGAGCACCGTGCACATTTTTGGCGCGGCGGCACGTTCAGCGGAAATACCACGGCGGAGAAGTCGCCCGTAGCGAAAGGGTTAATCCATATTAATTTATAAAAGTTTTGCAGTTTTATTACAAATAATGTACATGTAAATCGTCTGTATCCAATCATTTCCTTATTTTAACTAATTATATTTATCCGAATATTCAACAGTCATTTAAATAATATAACCCCCAGTAAATCACAGAATAGCTGTAAAAGTTGACTATACAAAATAAAATTTTAAAAATATCATTTCGGAATTTTTCACGTTCAACGTCATGTTCAGAAATATTTAGTGTAATATTCCAAACAGTCTACCTTATGTATTGAATTTTTAATAATATAAAATTATCAGTTACGATATCGCGTTACTGTCTGCTTGCGCCTTCCATATCGCTTATCTTTATCACTTTTGGCTTCGATTAATCAATGAAGAAAATTCTTCCTGGTAGCGATTATTAAAATTAATTTTTTCCTCGAAGAAATTATACATTTAGCGATAGGCTATACGTGACATTTAAATACACAAGACGCTTTTGTTTTTAAGAAACTTATTTAAGGGTTCTTGCATAAAAAATACATAATTTGCAATCGTTTCGTTTTAGATACCCAGTCTACATTGTTTGGATAAAAAAGTATCTGTACGAATTTCTAGGGAAAATTTCTATTTTTTTTTAAGAATGATCGATTAATTGGAAATAATATGTACATAAATCTAGTTGTACAGACCTTCGACTCAAATGGAATTCAACGATACAACAATATATTTTCGTTTATAATATTGATGGATTTACAATATGTTTTTATTTATAATATTCTTCACCCATCCAGATTAAACTTACACCTTTAAACCTTTGTATTCTGTGTTAAATGTTTATGATAACATTTCAAGAATCGTGTAATCAGGAAGGTGGTATGGTATTTATTCTAATAAATTTAATCAGATTCCTACTCATGTTACTGGAATTTAATGTACTGTTACGTGTTAACCGATAGGTAGCACGTATTGTATAATGTTAAAGCGAGAGACTTCAGATTAGCGGCGTCGTTTTGTTAACGATGTCCAAAACAGTGACAAAGTAGAGTCGTGGTACGACCGTAGAACAGAAAAGACGTGTCAAGATAAGTATTCCTCCTTTTTAAATAAATAATTCTTCCTTTTTATAAACATTGTCTTTATTTATTGGAAGTCATGCCGCGCCCACGCAACAGTGCTATACGTAATATTTGTTGATGAATCGAAAGAATAAAAAAATTAAACTTTTCAGATCACTTAAATTTTTAATCCATTCTGATCCGAAAAAGTGTATTTTTATTTTTCAGAATAGATTCTTCTCCGGTTAAGCATTGATACTTAGGATACATCCAGTATGTCACAACTAGGGGATGTACCCATTTTATAATTATCAGATCTAGTTCTAACCAGCGAGAGCATAAAACAGAAGGTCAAGCAAATACAATAGGAGTAAACCGGTATAGAATGTTGTACGAATAATGTATCATATTTCAACTACTAACGAGATACATATAAAAGTTTCCTTATTTGTCATTATTAGACAAGGAACCTTATGTATTTATAGGATACACGCCATCTAATGTTCAGTATAGTAAAACTCGTACATACTAAAGTTTACTGAAGTTATTATTTTCTGTTATATATAATAGATTCCAGTCTTCGTAAATTAGCCCATAAATATCCATATCTGCATAAACATCAGCTGTCTAGACAGAATCTTAGAAAACTTTTACTAATAGTCTTATCAATGACAACCAATTATGCAAATGTTATACAGGGTGAGTAACTTAACAATACCACCTGAATTTACTCATAAATTACTCATATAAAAAAATGTTTCAAATGAAAGTTGTTTAATATCGAACGATGTATACAATGTGATAATTAGTTTTTTGATGTTTCGCTTTTTTATCAAGATATGAAGGTGACCTTGACTTTTTGTATCATAATGTATAATATTTGATCCTGCGATTCGAAAATATATTGAATGTTAAGTAAAAAACTACTAAGATATATGGGGTTAAAAAATAATAATTACCGAGCTATTCTTTAATTAATCTTGAATGTATATACTGCTCAGAATGCTGTCCATTACATTTTTATCATGCACAAAAGTTCCATCATCTTTCACCGAAGAACATCTCGGTAATTATTATTTTTTGACCCCATCTACCTTAGTAATTTTTTACTTTACATGCAATATTCTTTCGAATTGCAGGGTCCTATACGTATGTATATGTATACATTATGACATAAAAACTCAAGGTCACTTTCATATCTCGATAAAAAAGTGAAACAACTAATTACAATCATTGTATGCTCCGCTCGATATGAAACAACCATCGTCTGAAACATTTTTTTATAAAACAAGAAATTTGAGTAAATTTAGGTGGTACAGTTAAGTGACACCCTTTACAGTACTTCCTATGTAAACATACAAAATACAATGAAACAGAATTTTTTACAACGTTTAGTAACACGTTTCGAGGTACTATCAATCTTTTCATTGGTGAAATATAATTATTTTTTGATCCTCATGCATATGAGGGTATCAAATATTTTATGATAACAGTAATTTGTATAAAACTCCACAATCTGCTTATTAGTTCGAGTATACATGTAGGAACAAGTCTGTGATGTCGAAAATAATTTTCATCATACCCCTACCAGATCTCTTAACGTAGTACATACTTCCCACCCTGGCCTCATAAATACATTGTTTTTTATAACAAATATTCAACAGCACATATGAACCGTTCATTTGCCAAAAACTCCCCAAAATTGATTTTAAATACAAAAAAGTTAAACATCAATCAAGTACTTTGGTATATAACTATATACTAAAATTTGAGAAAAATTCGAAAAGTGGAGTCAGTCACTTTGGCCCGTGAACGATTCATATGACGTTCGATATACATTTTGAAATTTCAACACGGTAACCGGCAGAAAGTACATATATTACGAATATATCAATCACGGAGGTGTCGAACGGAATCCCTATTATTAGATACGAATTCGTGCAGAACTCTGGTGATAAGATTGCACGCGACTCGTGTGTGACTCATACGAATCGCCTGTTACAGCAAATATGGGTTTTGTTTTGATTTAATGCTTGGTCGTTGTCTCTTGCGCGACGTTGCCTACATAGTTATTATTCGGTTCGCCGACTTCGTCTCGTGCTCGCCATTTGCCACGGTTTTATGAATCACGATGGAATTCCGAGTCTTTTGCGTGACTATTCTCCCTGTTGTCTCTCGACGCGACAACTTGACCTGATGGTCGTAGTATAGGAAGTGGAATAGGAACTCTTCAGCTCCTTTCCATTACATGGCGTTCTTCGAAAAACTTCCTACCAATTGCTCTCGGAGTTATTGAAACTGATGCGAAATTAACATTCGGTTTAACATTTATTTCAGTATTTGAAATAAATTTTGCCAAATGGTAGGAAGCTCTTTTCTTACGCCACTTTTTCCCCCCTAACGGAAGCCGACTTTGCTCGTGGGTGTACTTACTTGCATATAGGGTAAAGTAGCCTAATATGAGACCTTTCCTAATATACATATATGAGACCCCGGCCTATCGCCATTACGGAGAAGTCATGAACGTCGCAAACAATTTCAAAACATGCACTACAAGGAAACGTGTAAAAAGTGATAGTTCAATCGATGAGTGCGAAGAAGATATTGTACTGAAGGATGAAAGTGATGACGAAGAAAATTATGATCTAGAATGCTTGTTTAGTACAGGACTTTATTCTTCAGATGTACATAAATGGGTTCAGTGTATCAAATGTTACCGGTGGGCCCATGAAAACTGCGGTGCAGACGCAGTTAATTTTATATGCCGAATGTGTGAAGACAGGAAAAATAAGTTTTGACATGATGAAACCTGGGTCTCATATTAGGCGACCAGTTTTTGAATTCATGTTTCTGCATACTTTTCATTTTTATTTTATTATGATGGAACTCTATCTGTTTTGTTATCGTTTCTAATATATTGTTAAAG